AAGAAAGGACTTGTATCGCTGAAGTTTTTCGGAAAGAATTTCTACGGAAAATTAACAAACGACCAGAGACAATTACAGAAAATTACAAACAAACAATTCTTTTGTTTTTCAGAAAGGGGAAACAGATTTTAACTTCGTATCTCACACAAAACCATTAAGCTTAACTTAAGTGAGTTAGACTAAATTAAGACTAAGAGATATGAACGAAAACAAAAAGTTGGTGCCATTTTTTCCCCCTAACATTTCAAATAATAAATTTAATTATTTTCCCTGGGGATGTAATTGTTGAGAGCATTCCGAGTAATTTATAAAGAGTAAGTTTAATTTATGTTTTAATTTTAGTAAAACTATGAGAAAGGGAGGGCGACTGGTCTAGCAACGTCCAGGCTTTTGCTTGATCATTCGTTTGGCGGAAGGCTAATTAAAAACAAAAACAAATCAATGTAAGGAGGTTATTAAAATCATCTGTCGATATTTTGGACAATATTTGGCAAACTTCAAGGTTAGTCATCATATTTAAAAAATGCTTAATCGCTAGATTACCCTTTGGAACTTAAAAAAATAAAGTTTATTTTTCAAACGTTTAGTATGACAACTTACAACTGATAAGACTACTGCTACTAGTACTACCACCAGATTAATTGAACTTAAAAATGCAGTACTTAATAAAGGTTAAGCACATGTTAGCCTACACTATTAACTACTACTGCTAGTAGTATTAATGCTACAGAAGTATGCTTGCGTAGGTTAGCCCAAAATTCAAACTATTTTGCTGTTTCTCTTTCTTTTCACTTATAAAATTGCGATGAGTAAAAAAAAAAATCCGTATTTATGATTCAGTTTAACTAAAATGTAGAAGTTTACGTTAAAAAGTCCAGCTTTCTTATGTGTAACTGTAAACGTAGTATTACAAAGCTTAAATAATATTAAGGTTAAGCTACTGCACTAATGACGTGCACATGTAATGTCTTTAATCTTTTCCATTTTCAATACCACCACTGCTTCTCTCATAGAAGAAGTATGTCCTTCCCAGTTTTGTTTTTTTAAATCCAGATTGCATTACTATATACCGTATTTTTCGGAATATAAGACACCCTTATTTTGAAGACAAAGTTTTGGAGGAAAAAAGGCCACAGTTGCATTTGAAAG